CCGATTCAGTTGGTCTTTGACTGAAGGATTACACTAGCACTTATGTTAAGTGTTGAACAGGACCACGGAAGGATAAGGATATGAGACTCACTGACCGTTGTCATAACCTAGACCTTCAGTGATTGATGCGTTCTCTTAAGCTGTAAAATAATATAAAATAGGCATATATTTTTATCTCTTATTTATTTGATTTACCAAGTGATTCCTATTCTGTTAGGATGACATACGAGGTATTTTGGTAAGTAAGAATAATTATATGATGTGCTATTATAGATTATTTACAGTCACTATGTTCCAGTGCGCTGGATTGATGACGTCCCTGAAATGAGCTCAGAAGGGAACCTTATGTTAAACCCTGCAGGTAGACGATTGTCTGACATAATGGTTAAAGGCTGAGTGGTACTAATTTCGGAAATGAATAAGAGGTTGGATTTTTGTCAGTAATTTAATTAATCAACGGACGTTATATCTTAAACATAGGGAGGTAAATCGATCAATAGATTAATATTATTTAATCATGGAGGCTCGATTTTATTGGTAAAATAGTGGCTAAATGGGGAGAGCAATAATATTACTCTATTGGGATGTTTTATTATTTAATTTCATTAAATAGGAATTAATTTTATTCCATATTAATTAATTAATTAGGAGAATAAAATTCCTACTAGAATCTTCTCTTGGATTAGGAGACTTGGAAGTCTTCTAGAAGATGAAGATTAGTGGGAAATATATTTCCTACATTATTTATTTATTTGGAGTAAAATTAGGTTTCCTAAATTAGGATTTAATTCTCTTCCATGAATATTAATTTAATTAGGAAAGGAAATTCCTACAAGGATCTTCTCTAGTGTTAGGAGATTTAGGAGTCTTCTAGAAGGGAGAAGATTAGTAGGAGATCTCCTTCCTAGATTGAGTTAGTATTGGATGAGAATTAGGAATCCTAGGCCTAATGGAATAAGCCATATTTAGCACCTCCTTAAGGTCCCTAATGGAGCCTATAAATACACCAAGTCCCAATCTCTCTTATGGTTGTTGATGTTGGCCAATTTCTCTACTACATACGCGAGAGAATTACATCATTCGAGAGTTAGGGAGATCCGATTAAACGCTCCACCAAGTTTATTCGGAATAGGTGTTTAGGTAATCCATTAGAAGGCTTTTTTGTGCAATTGATTGAGCCTCTATATACATATATTTTCCGGTCATCTTCCCAGCCAGTCGCCGCCGTCCGCCGCCGTCGACCACCGCCGGAAATCACCCAGCACCGCCTATCGCCGCCGGAAGCCGATCGAGCCCAGCCATGCGCAACCGCACGCATCGCGCGCAGTCGCACGTTGCCCAGGCCCGACGCCAGTCCCAGCAGTGACGCCCAGGACCATCGCACAAAGGCCGTCGCCCGTTCGTCCAACCCTGTGCCATCGCGA